TTCTGACCATGGGGCCATGAAGAGTCGGACACGACTTAACGACTAAACAGCAATACTCCTAGATCTGTCTGTTTTTTCAACATAGTTACAGAGATGGTTTCCCTCCCTAATGTCCTTACAATTCTGAAAAACTGCTGTGTTAGTCTGGGAAACTTTGGAATTCATATAAGAGAGGGTTGCAGGGGAGAGGTGACAAAATCGCCTAAACTATCATAAATATCACACTGGTTTTAGGTCTCTGTAAGATACAAGAGTGCGCAGTTATGTTTTCCCAGTTAGGTAAGTGTGAAGAGATGGGTTTAAAACCAAACTGCTTTCTTAAATTAAAATGCTTTTGTTTTCAGGTCTTTGTCTAGAAAAGTTGCCAGTTTCTTCATCAACAAGTAACCTCCGCGCAGATCGTGAACAAGATATCATTATGTGTTATGAAAAGGCTGGGGATATAGCCCTTCTGTATCTCCAGGAGATAGAAAGGGTAAGCTTCTTTGTCTAGTTGAGTGCTGATGCATACAGTGGGCCCTCTACTTATGGAATTAATCCATATTGGAATGGTGGCTGCAGGTCAAAAAGTCCGTAGGTCGAGTCTCCATTGACCTGCAATGCATTGAAAACCGATTAATCCGTAACCAGCCATTTTTGTTCCATTTTGTGTGTTTTCCCCTAGTCTGTAGGTCGATTCTCTTGCTGCAAGTCAAACCTACATTTTGCAGCCAGAGAAGTCTGTAACTAGAAAAGTCTGTAAGTCAAGCCGTCTGTAAGTCGAGGGTCCACTGTACCTGATCTTGTGTATGCATTAATTTCTTCATTCAGTCATTAGGTTGACTAACAGTATAGTCTTCTACATATCTTTTCAGAAGTAAGTTCCACTCAATCTAATGGGACGTATGCAAAGAATCGCAGCACCAGGAAAACCACTGTCAGCCAGTTGTAAACATGGAGAAAATATATGTGAAGCACTTTAAATAGTTTAAAATTAAATGGGATTTCATCCCTTGTACAGTGGTGCCTTGACTTACAAACTTAATCCGTAACGGAATGGTGTTCGTACGTCAAATCATCATTTCCCATAGGAATGCATTGAAACCCGATTAATCCTTTCTGACCGTTTTTTGTTCTTACATCAAGGTACAATTCGTAAGTCAAAGCATTCGTTCCCATATGCAAAGCCAGTTAATCCATCCTCTACCACTAGAGGGAGAAATTTTCTTCTTTTAACCTAAGATGAACTTAGGTAAAAAATGATAGGAAAGGAGGGAGGGAGGGAGGGAGGGAACAAAGCGGAAACGAGGAAAGAAAGAAGGTCATCACTGGGGCACACAGACCCCTCAGACAAAGGTTTGTGCTTTTAAGCACAAAAGAGAAGACAGAAAGAGAAAAAAGAATTTGGAGTCCAAAATACATTTTAAACCCACACATTTTACAACAACAGATTTTAAACCAAAGCAAACACCTTTTAAACCCACCCACCAACACCTTTTAAAACAAAAGAGAGGTCACACCGCAGTACACAAACCCTAGGTGCCACAGAATCCAGCAACCATTATTCCAGCAAACAGACCCTCTTGGCCAAAAAGAGAGAACACACACACACACACACACACACACACACACACACACACACACACACACACACACACACACAACACCGACCAAGTGTCAGCACTCACCTCTCTCACAAAGCCTCTCTCCTAGGACGCTTCCCCTCCCGTTCTTTTTAAAACAGCTTTTCCTATGTGGAGAGTTCTGTTTATTGAGTTGTTTATTTTGTTGAATGCTGTTCAGCATTCTGAAACTTGTGCCCGTTTACCAGAATATGAGAATAGTTGCAGTGAATCACACCAGAGAAAGACAATCTCTTTGCTTCTGGAAATATTGTTGTGTGTCTGTTATCTGTCTATGTTTATCTTCATAAAGGATAGGCAAAGAATAGACTGTCAATTGTATGTGGCCCCAAGAGCCTCTGTTGTGCTCCCTCAGATTTCCCTAGATCACTCCCAATTCAGCTCCCAAAATTGCAGATTTCATTCCCCAGAAGTCTATAGGGAACACAGTTTGCCATATAAATACATTTTTGCCCCCTTGACCCCTTAAAAGGCTGCTCTTTAAAAATTGGAAGTGGCTGACATGTATTATTGTAGTTAATGGATTGGTTTCAGTGTAATGTCAAACTGTGGTTTGGTGGTATGTGAATGAACTCTGTGCTCATGTACCTCCTCCTCCTTGTCTCCCATCTAGCATCATGTCAGTGACTGCCATTGAGATGTAAAAGCAACTATTGCTTGTTGCCTGTTTGGAAGCAAGAGAGTAAATTGAAGCCCACATAAGAGTACTGGAGGATATGAGCATAAGCTTGATCATATAGCACCATACAATGGGATGGCATTATATCTGAACCAGTATACTTCATTTATAATAGACATTACCCCGTTTCCCCGAAAATAAGCCCTAACCTGAAAATAAGCCCTAGTATGGTTTTTCAGGATGCTCGTAATATAAGCCCTACCCCAAAAATAAGCCCTAGTTAAACCCCACCCTCCACCCTTGTGCAGCAACCAGAAGATGACATAACTATATTTGAATATATGTAGATTTTTGTACATGAAAAAATAAAATGTTCCCTGAAAATAAGCCCTAATGCATTTTTGGAGCAAAAATTAATATAAGATCCTATCTTATTTTCGGGGAAACACGGTAGTAGAAATTGTCTCATTTCAATGTGTTTTTTTT